TGACCAAGCCACGGCTACTAAGGCCCCCCGCCACGACAAGGCGGGAACCCGTTCGGGGGTGGGGACAACCTTTTTTTTTTTTTTTTTACGAGGGGAAATCCTCATGGACTACCTCCGCCTGGGGAAAGGCGGAGGGGCGTGCCGGACTCTTACCGGCTAAAACCACCCCGGTGTCTCCTCACACGTGCGCGTGGGGCCGCGGGAATCCAAATTCTTCCGCAGCCCCACACTAGTGCTGGCCCGGTCTGTCCAGGCCTCGTCTCCTGCACGGGGTAGTGAGGTGTTAAACTACCCCGTGTATCGCCTCAGGGGCGCGCGCCGACACCTGCGCGCGCCTCCGCCTCGGGTCCATCGAGGGTGGGGACAACCTAATCTAACCTAAACTAACCTAATTAACGCATTTGTAGTTAAAACGTCATCGTGTTCTAAGATTGTAATGGGGAAATACCAACTTATTTTCCCTGTATTTCTTTATTAGACCGTAAATGAAAGTCTACTGGTCTTTTTTTATATAGGATAAGGTAAAAAAAAAACGAGCACACAGTCCATGTGATTATAAGTGGTTGTTGTGGCCCATAGACATCTACGTCTATCCTCGATGACGAATCAAAATGTAGGTGCATTATCACCCCTGAAGACTGATATGGAGTGCCTCGTTTCCAGTAAAAGGGTCTCCGGTTCTCTACACTCACCATAGCAAACATAGCAGCATTAAGCTGCTATTATACGCTGGTATTCTGTGAGAGCATGTTCCTACCCCGGACAAGGCGTACCTATTCGTGCTGTGACCACAATATAGCGGCAGCATATTTTACTCCATTTATAAATTTGTGAGTCAGTTTAAATTATATAGAATAACGCATGTGTAGTTAATACGTCATCGTGTTTAACTATTATAATATATGTTTACTAACTGTACTTCTGCATTAAACCGTAAGTAAAAGTCTAATGGACATGCCTTTACTGTTGTGGGAATTTTTCACTTTTTCTGTATGTTTTTTAATTTCATTGATATTGATCCCTTTCTGGTTTAACTTTATGCTGTTAATATAAGGGGAAAGTCAAGTTCAGAGTAAACGAAACGAGAACTAAGGCCTAAAGGAACACTCAGTGTGTGATTCGCCAAGTTGTGGGCAACACATATTCATACCATGGCATACACATTCATATTATATAGTTGCAGTGCAATTCTGTTGGGATTGAAAAGAGCCAAGTTCGCACACTACCGTACCCACTGATGCTACTTGTTTGGTACGATAGTAACTTATATAATAACGACAAATTTATTACGATTGGATTTCATTGATTTATTTTGTTTGCGCGGAACCATAATTATTTTGCTCTAAAATAAAAGTAGTCCAATTTACTCCTTATAAGATCAGCTATCTGCCATTGGAAGTCCCGTCAAATCGGTCTAACCATTTCGGAGATTAGCCGGAACAAACAGAGAGACAGACAAAAGTTTTAAAAGTTGTTTTTTATTAAAAGTACTTTATATGTTTTCATATGCATTTAGTAAAAAACTGTTATTTTGATATTACTATCAGACAGTGCAATTTTATTTATGTATATAGATAGTCCGAGGAGTACAATTTGCCACTATGTCTGGCGTATGTGGACTATGAGAAAGCCTTTGATTCCGTCGAAATTTGGGCGGTGCTGCAGTCCCTTCAGCGATGCCAAGTTGACTGTCGGTATATCGAAGTGTTGAAGTGCTTGTACAGTAGGGCTACGATGGCTATCCGAGTACAGAACCAGAGTACGAAACCTATCCAATTGCAGAGAGGTGTAAGACAGGGTGACGTCATATCCCCGAAACTCTTTACCGCTGCATTGGAAGATGTTTTCAAGCTTCTGGACTGGAAAGGATACGGTATAAACATCAATGGCGAGTACATCACTCACCTTCGATTTGCCGACGATATAGTCCTTATGGCAGAATCGCTGGAGGACCTAAGCACTATGCTCAATGACCTCAATAGTGTTTCCCAACGGATAGGTCTTAAGATGAACATGGACAAAACAAAGATCATGTTTAATGTCCATGTCACACCTATGCCGGTAGTTGTTGGGAACACTAAGCTCGAAGTTGTTGACGAGTATGTTTACCTGGGACAAATAGTCCGACTAGGTAAGTCCAACTTCGACCGAGAGGTCAATCGACGGATTCAACTCGGCTGGGCAGCGTTCGGGAAGCTACGACACATCTTCTCTTCAGGTATACCTCAAAACTTGAAAACGAGACTGTACACCCAGTGCGTGTTGCCAGTGATGACATACGGAACTGAGACGTGGTCCTTCACTGCTGGCCGGATGAGGAAGCTCAAGGTCGCTCAGCGAGCTATGGAGAGGGCTATGCTCGGAGTTTCCCTGCGTGATAAACTCAGAAATGAGGATATCCGCAGTAGAACTAGAGTGACCGACATAGCCCAACGGATTAGTAAGCTGAAGTGGTAATGGGCCGGCCATATAGCTCGAAGAACCGACAACCGATGGGGAAGAAAGGTTCTCGAGTGGCAGCCTCGTACCGGCAGGCGAAGTGTAGGGCGTCCCCCCACTAGATGGAGTGACGACCTGGTAAGATATGCAGGAAGTCGATGGATGCAGGTGGCTCAGGACCGTGCTTTGTGGCATTCTTTGGGGGAGGCCTATGTTCAGCAGTGGACTTGTGAAGGGCTGTAATGATGATGATATAGATAGATTCATACAGATGACTTTGTGCTCTCATTTTGATTCTAAGCCGAAGATTAATGTGGGTGTCTATGAACCACGGCATTCATCATAAAGTGAATTGTGCACGCGTTTGACACTTCTATAAAAATTCAGCAAAATACCGATGTAAGTGCTTAATAAATTAAGCACTTAAATAAATATGCACCGCACGCCCGCGCCTCGACATGATAATTAAGCGCTAAGCGCAGCTGTATTCTTGTTACAAAAACATATTGACGATATAATATGGCATACAGTTACTCCAAAATAGTAAATTTACCACCGAGTTTTGCAGTCATCTATAATTAAAATGGACACCATCTTGGGCAAACTAGCTGGATAGATGGCTCCTGATTGCGTCCGACGTAATGCAGGCACCTACACTGTTGACGAGACGGTGGGAATTGGAGGATCTTGATGTAGGGTCAGCAAAATAGCTTTAATATTCAAACACATATATTTTAAGCCGACCTTAAAAATGAGAACTTTCTTAATTCGACTATATGTGTTTATCTGTTTTTTTGTCTGTATATTATACGATAACTTAGCCAAACCGATTGAGTGATTCTTTTTCTACCGACTTCAAAAACGAGGAGGTACTCAATTCGACTGTATGTTTTTTTATGAGTGTTACATCATAACATTTCTCTGGGTGAACCGATTTCGATGATTTCGATTCTTTTCTTTTTGTTTGAAAGCTGGTGCTTCTCAAGTGGTCCCATATAAATTTGATTAAGGTCTAACTAAATGTTTTTGAGTTGTTCTTAATAATTTATATTGAAGTCGGTTGTACAAAATTTTAAATTTTAATGTCAACTTTAGAATAGTGTCAGTAAAAAAAAAACATACAGTCGAATTCAGTACCGTCTCCTTTTTGAAGTCGTAGAAAAATGAATACACATTGATAATCTAACATTTTATTTTAAGTAAATTTTAATTGTCTGATAGATTCTTATGAGTTTTCACTGTGTTTCTTTTGTATAGTTATGTTCCATTGGCGATAACTTCTTCATTTCATTTCCTACTTCGGAATAATTCATTAAAGACACAAAGATGATTTTGCAGATGGACACTCAAAACAACAAAAAAAAAGTTACGAACGCGTTCATGCAAGTGAATGAAGTAATGATTTACAGACAATTGTCTCCACAGGCTGACATCTTTTTTATTTTGTTTTCACCGGGAGTTAATTACAACTGACTGTAACGAGTTGGACTGGTCGTGGGCACACGTTCGAGTTAAAACAACGCCTAAGCAAAACATTCGCGTATAGTGTACGAAAAGTAATATATTTATATAACATTACTATAATAATAAAACATGAACGTCTTGAAAGGTTGTATGTCTGTGGCCCTTAGCCATCTATATCTATACTCGATTACGGATTAATTTTTTTTATAGAAGAGGGGGCAAACGAGCATGCGGCTCACCTGATGGTAAGTGACTACCGTCGCCCATGAACAACCGCAACACCAGGGGAATTGCAGAAATGCAGATACGTTGACACCCCTGGGGACTATGATGGAATACCTTGTATCTTTTTTTTATAGAACTAGGGTGACAAACGGGCACACAGTCCACCTGATGGTAAGTGGTTGCTGTGGCCCATAGACGTCTACATTTATCTTCGTTTGTGAATTAAAATGCAGATGCATTGTCAGCCGTGAGGACTAAGATAGAATGTTTATTTTACAGTAAAAAGGGTCACCGGTTCTCTACACTCACCATACGAATCACAGCAGCAATAGGCTGCTATTTTACGCTGGTATTCTGTGAGAGCGTGGTCCTCCCCCTGTCGAGCCAAGCTACTCATGCTACAACCATAATAAAGCACTACCACGCGTGTAGCGTGGCTCTACCACGTTTAATCCTAAGTGACGTCGCCCTGGTGGCGGAAAAGGTCGTCAATGACGAAGATATCGTATAACATAGTACAAACAAAATAAAACAGTCAAATTGTAAACCTCCTTCTTTTTGTTAAGTAGCTAAAATGGGTCTTTGAACGCCTGAACTCTCTTACTATACAAAAACTCTCAGAAATATGCTGATACTCAACGTTGGTATTCAGATAGAATGTGGTCCTTCTCCGGTGCAAAATGATTCGACCGCTCAAACATTGTAGGTACGCAGTAAACATATAATACATTGAACGGAAATGCCACTCATATCAATCAATTGCATTACTATTACAAACTTGGCTGGAGTTGAATGTCAAAACAATATGTTTTGATAATCTGCTCCATTTTTAAAACAGTTCTCTTACGTTATAAAATATTGGTAGCAGTTTTAAACAGTTGTTACAGCACAATCAGCGCGTGCGCATACTATAAAACTGTCGATCTCAAATAGTGCACTTCCAATTTTCTTATCGTACGAACATGCTGAGTCAAGTTTGAAGAAATGTATTCGTTTTTAACTTTACTTTTGATCTTAGTATGTGAGTATGGATACATTTTGACGTGTGGTCACTTTTTAAATGGCCAAAAATTAATCTATTCTAGTGCTGTGTTAAATTATGTTTTAAACGAATGCTATCAGAACTCTGCCGTTTTAATTTTATTAAAAAAAAAACTAGCTGTTTCCCCGCGTCTCCAATCGCGTGGAATCCGTGCGCGGAACCCCAATTATTTTCTAAAATAAAAGTAGCCTAAATTAGTCCTTATGAAATAGGCTATCTGCCAGTGAATGTCCCGTCAAAATAGGTCCAGCTATTTCGGACATTAGCTGATACAAACTGACAGACAGGCAAAGTTCAAATAAATTGTTTTGTGTTTTAAGTACCGTATATACTTTCTTATGCCTTAATTAAAAAGCTGTTATTTTTATTAATATTACAAACAGACACTTCAATTTTATTTATTTGTATAGATTGAGATGAGATTACTTACGAGCATACAGAACACCTAATGCTGCAACATACAAAGTACAGGTACAGGTGTGTTGTCTCCTTTTAAATAAAACTAGTTTTATTTAAATGTGTAGTGTGCGCGTAAATATAAGAAATCATTGTGTTGTCTCCTCCATAGATTTCTTCATACAGTTAATGACTCCTATTTGCCATAGTTGCCAAAAAAGTAAGCAGCTTGGAAACCACAGTTATTAATTATTTTTAAGTTTTTAATAGGAAGTTGTTAGTTGCAGTTGTAAGTGCTGATTTACTTTGGTGCTTTTAACAGTGGTCTTGGTCTTTCGCTGTTGTAAGTAGGGGTTGGTTTGCTCAAGACAAGACAAAAACTGCTCGGGGCAAGCTGAGCAACAAGCCCAAGGCGATCCGTGACACGCTATCCGTGGAATTTCTGCAACATCAGAGGACTTCACTTGAATCTAAACGTCGTGCGATAGTGGATCTGGAAACGGCGAAACCAGCCTTGCTCTTTCTGACCGAGACGCAGGTCTCCGGTTGATACTTCATATCTCTCCCACCCGGGGCACAAATTGGAACACTCCTTTGTGTTGGTAGTCTTGAAGGTTCAGACATGTTCATTCTAGATATCGACAGCCATTCGCGCGTCTTCGGGTCCCTTTATAGGTCCCATAGCGGTAATTCCGACATAGACCGACTCATCAACCACGTCCAAATGGCTACAGATTTCTTGCTACAGCAGATCCCATCTGCAGATGGACACACGTGTTACTGGGCAATTTTAACACCCACCACGCTAAATAGCTCGGTTCCTGTTTAACCGATCATGCGGGGAGATCTGTTTATGACTTTGCCTTGGCATATGGTCTGACACAACTGGTTACTTCGCCTACGTGGATTCCAGATGTGGAGGATCATCTTCCCTGTTGGACCTTCCGCTGACTTCTCATCTAGACGGATATCCGGTTCCCGTCGATGCCCCTCTTGGCTCCTCGGACCATTGTCTTGTCTGGAGTTTGCCACTCACACTAACATCCCTGTTGCATTCTGCCGGCTGCCGCCTTATTTGGCTCTATAGGTCAGTCGACTGGGATAGGATGCGGTCTTTCTTTACATCCTACCCTTGGGGGCGGATTTGCTTCTCGCCGGACGATCCCAATATTGTTGCTGATTCAGTTGCTGATGTGGTGCTTCAGGGTATGCAACTTTTTATTTCATCTTCTGTGGTGCCTATCGGAGGCAGATCCTAGCCATGATTTTGTCGCTCCTGAAAAATACCACCACGCTATAAGCAGGAGTCCTACTGTGCCTTGGCTGATGCATCAACATCCCGGGATGTAAGGTCCTTCAAAAGAGTCATTGCACACACATCATCAGAATTGGCGAGAAACTTCTGTCAGCTACCTCTTATCTCTGCACAGGGAGAACAACTCACTGGCTCATGCCGCAAAGGAAGTTGCCGATCTGTTAGGCTCTCTCTTTGCGTCTAACTTGACTCTCGATGACGGGAGAAATATACCGCTGACCATCTCGCTCTGTGAGTGCTCGATGCCGGATGTAGGGCGTACACGGTGCTTGTTTCGCAAAGCACTAAACACTGCTGGTGTTGCACAAGACTGTGTGGTATCACCTTCTACATATCAATGATATGTTGCAAACTAGTAGCATTCAGCAGCAACAGCACAGGTGATGCTTTTTATACCGGCCGTGTCAATATTTGGATCACTTCATCAAGTACCGGAACAAATTTGTGTCTGAAGTCGAGTCGTTGTTAAATAAAACCTCGGATTTGGGGACGACTAAATCTAGTCCAATTTAATTGAAGGCATAGGTATGCGCGCTTACCGCTTCAAAGAACCCTTTTGGCGTATCTCATCATCTTCAGGGCACTCCCCTTGTTACTTCAGCTAGAATCGTAATCCTCGGCGGCGACATATCGAATGATGTCATGTTTTACTAGATGTTTTCTTCCTCGCACAATCTCTTTGTGAAATCGTTTACCACAAACCGATACCACTTAGGGATTTTAAAGATTAGAGCTTACTCCTTTCTAAAAGGCTGGCAATGCACTGGTGTTGCACTTGTTCATGGGAGGGTGTAGTCACTTACCATCAGGTGAGCTGCACGCTCGTTTGCCCCCTCTTCTATAAAAAAATTATCACGGGCTCCGTGTTGATGGAAAACATCGTGAAGAAATCAGCATGACTAAGAAATGAAAAAAAAAATCGAAGACAACATTTCTTTGTTCTGAAACCCTCAGGTTTCCGGTTCTCTACACTTTCCATACAAAATACAACAGCATTCAGCTGCTTTTACATTTTTATGTCATTTGATGCTTTTATGTTTTAGATTACATAGCAGTAGAACATCATTTTATATCTGCTATTAACAATAAGAATATCGTATTAATGCCATGGATGGGAGTTTTGATTTATAAACCAGGTGAGTTTTACTATTTCTATATATTTTGTAGCTATGTGGACAGGTGGACAGAGATTTTTTCGTCTGTTTCTTAATGATCCATTGCATTCTAGCCTATAAGAATCCACTCCTAGACATGGGCCTTGGCCGTTGTAACATTTGCTGACTACTAATAGATAAGGCTATTTATATTATCTAAATTGGTATTTTTCTTTGTTTTTTTTTTTTTTTAAGATTCACTCGCATATCTGCCGTCACCGTTACAGCCTATTAAAAGTCCACTGCTGAACATAAGCTTCCCTCATAGATAGCCTTATAGGAACAATTTTGGCATAGTACCACAAGAGGATTGGCAACCACAGTTATCGTGTTTTAGTGGTTATTAAGAACACGCTGCTGTCATCTCCTGGCTTGTTTCCTTCTGTCATTTCCTGCGACACCCATGGGACGATATGGGGGTAGTAGATAATCTTACACCACCACTACGTGGTCTATATTACATGAAATTTTTAACGCTTCCAGATAATCACTCATTAGAAGAAGTCACTAATATTGTGATGGTGGAACAACAAATAGCTATAGGGAACGCAAAAGACATAGCGGCCGTGGACGAGGATTCACTAAAGTACCGTATGAATTTTAAATTACTATTATTACGTGGTAGAGCAGGGGTCTCCAAACTACGGCCTGCGAGCAAAATCTGGCCCGCCATTGTCACCCATTTGGCCCGCGACAGCTTAAGACTAGTGTCATTAATCTGGCCCGCGACAGCCAATGTCTTATTGTCATTACTATTGCTGTGATAAGTTGATGAAAACACAAAATGTTAATTAATCGGTTTTATTACTGTCGTAAAACTTAACGACAAAAATAATGACGCAGAAAACTTAAGAATCTGAGTTTAAGCATGTTAATAACTAACAAATTATTAAAATGAATCCCACTAATCACAGTAAAACAAATATTACTAATGAGATTTATGTAATTGTGTACACAGCTAGTAGTATTACTGGTTCTCTATACCCTTTAAACCAGAACACAGTGTGTTTATTGCTGCTTGACTGCAGAAATAGTTACGAAGGTGGTACCTGCTCAATTGAACACTAAGGTATAAGAGGAGTCTACCATCTAGTGCTAGGGTCTCGAAACTACGGCCCGCGAGTCAAACCCGGCCCGCCAATGCCAACAATCCGGGCCGCGACAGCTTAAGACTAGTGCCATTAATCCGGTCCGCAACAGCCAATGTCTTATTGTCATTACTATTTCTGTGATAAGTTGAAGAAAACACAAAATGTTAATTACTCGGTTTTATTTCTGTCGTATAACTTAACGACAGAAATAATGATGCAGAAAACTTAACTTAAGTATCTAAGCTTAACCATATTAATAACTAACAAATAATTGAAATGAATCCCACTAATCACAGTAAAACAAAAAACACTAATGAGATTTGTGTAATTGTGATTTTCCGCCGACAATAGTCTGTAGTTGTGGATCTATTTTACTTGTACCAATTATTAAAGGAGATTTAGGATGCTCATCGGTTAATTTAGATCTGTAAACATTGTTTGTGTACTTCATCTTGGAAAACGATTTCTTACACAAGTAAGTAGTACCAAAAACAGAAAACAACCCACGAGCAAATTCCAACAAAGATGAATTTTGATATTTTTTCTTAATCATATCACTGGAGCTGAGGTTACAATGTCAGAATCAAAAGGATTTTGAAAAAGCTTAATTTCATTCGCAATAACATCAAAATCTGAAAAAATGTGTATCTAAATTTATCTTTAAAACACTCCAAGTTTCGATTTAAATCAACGGAAAATTCAGTCTTTGCGGTTTGGCTGCATATTTCACATGTTTGTGAAATATACAGCCACACCGCACACGTTCACAAAGGTATGAAACATTTTTTACGTAATTTCGATTGAAATAGTATTATTTTCTGCCTTTACGATTTGATCATCATCATCATCATCATTAGAGCTTTTCATAAGTCCACTGCTGAACATAGGACTCCCCCAAGGAATATCACAAAGCACGGTCCTGAGCCACCTGCATCCATCGACTTCCTGCATGTCTTACCAGGTCGTCTCTCCATCTCGTGGGGGGGTCGCCATACTCTTCGCCTGCCGGTACGAGGCTGCCACTCGAGAACTTTTCTTCCCCATCGGTTGTCGGTTCTTCGAGCTATATGGCCGGCCCACTGCCAGTTCAGCTTACTAATCCATTAGGCTTTGTCGGTGAATCTGGTTCTACTGCGGATATCCTCATTTCTTAGTTTATCACGCAGAGAAACCCCGAACATAGCCCTCTCCATAGCTCGCTGAGTGACCTTGAGCTTCCTCATACGGCTAGCAGTGAAGGACCACGTCTCAGATCCGTAAGTCATCACTGGCAACATGCACTGGTTGTACAATTTCGTTTTAAGGTTTTGAGGTATGTCTAACGAGAAGATGTGTCGTAGTTTCCCGAACGCTGCCCAGCCGAGTTGAATCCGTCGATTGATCTCTCGGTTGAAGTTGGACTTACCTAGTCGGACTATTTGTCCCAGGTAAACATACTCGTCAACAACTTCTAGCTTAGTGCTCTCAACAACTACCGGCATTGGCGTGACATGGACGTTAAACATGATTTTTGTTTTGTCCATGTTCATCTTAATCCGTTGGGAGATACTATTGAGGTCATTGAGCATAGTGCTTAGGTCCTCCAGCGATTCTGCCATAAGGACTATCATCATTCTCTAAACCATTTCCCATTATCTGGGGTCGGCGCAGTAAATCTTTTTGTTCCATTCCTCTCTATCAGCCGTCATTTCCATACTTACTCCTTTCATTCTCATATCACTCTTCACACAATCGATCCATCTTTTATTCGGCCTTCCTCTGCCCGTGTGTCCCTCCACATTCATATTCAACACTCGTTTTGTGACATGACTTTCATTCCTCCGCATCACATGCCCAAACCATGCCAATCTGCTTCCTCTCACCTTTTCTACCACTGGCGCTACTTTCAGGCTTCCTCTTATATACTCATTCCTTATCTTATCCATCCTTGTCACACCACACATCCATCGTAACATTCTCATTTCATTCGCATGCAGTCTATTTTCATCCTTCTTCTTGACTAAGGACTATATCGTCGGCAAATCGAAGGTGAGTGATGTACTCGCCATTGATGTTAATACCGCATCCTTTCCAGTCTAGCAGCTTGAAAACGTCTTCCAATGCAGCGGTGAAGAGTTTCGGGGATATAATGTCACCCTATCTTACACTCTCTGCAGTTGGATAGGTTTCGTACTCTGACTCTGTACTCGGATAGCCATTGTAGCTCTACTGTACAAATACTTCAGCACTTCTAATTACCGACAGTCAACTTGGCACCACTGAAGGGACTGCAGTACCGCCCAAATTTCGACGGAATCATAGACTTTCTCATGATCCACATACACAAGGCAAAGTAGCAGATTATACTCCTCTGTTTTCTGTACAATTTGCCGAAGGGTGTGTATGTGGTCTATGGTACTAAAGCCTTTTCGGAAACCGGCTTGTTCGGGAGGCTGGAAATCATCAAGTCTGCGTGCGAGACGATTCGTAATGACTCTCTAAAACAGCACGTAGACGCGGCTCAGAAGTGAAATCGGACTGTAGTTCTTCAAGAGAGCGTTGTCGCCTTTCTGAAGAACAAGACCACCGCACTTATGCTCCACGCCTCCGGAGTAGTAACACCATGGAGTCCGGAATTAAAGAACTTCTGAAGGACTTCAAGTACCGGTTTTCTACCTGCTTTCCAAAGCTCCGCTGTAATTCCATCCTCGCCCGGGGACTTTTCGTTTTTAAGGCACTGGTGAGCCATTCTAATATCGCTCAAACTGAAGTCCGGGATATCTTCGGAATAGTGTCGGATAAGACTCGCTCTTGGATCATTACTCACACTTGCGTGTGGCTATTGGCAGCTATGCTCCAACGATGACGTATAGTCATCGTTGGAGCACAGCTGCCAATAGCACCTCTCAATCTCACTCAAAATCTCAGGTGTCCCGGAAACGATGCTGCCACACTCGGTCTTTAGCTTTGAAAGTTGGCTCTTTCTGGCAGACAGATCTCTGGCAAAAACTTTGGAGCCTTGGTTCCACTCGATCGCTTCTTCAATACAAGCTGTATTGAAGTTGCGTAATTCCCGCCGCATGCATTTGGAGATCTGTCTGTTCAATTGCCTGTATGTTGTCAAATCTGTTGAAGACTGCAGCTTCATCTCCCGTCTAACAGCCATGAAATTAAGAGTGTGATCGGAGATTTTTTGTGTTCTTCTTCGGCGGGTCTTGCAGAACTTAGCGCCGACCGCATGGACAGTTTCCACGAGCTTGTCATTCATATCGTCCACTTCATTGCAATCTTCTGAGCACTGAAAACGGTTTTATAACTCGAGCTGAAAGGTTTCGGGGCTTTGGAACAGAGCACGAAGGGGACGAAGCGTTGACTTCATTAGACGAGACCTCTCCAACTTAACGTTTAGGTTCAGTGTGCCTCTAACCATTCGGTGATCGCTACCAGTTTTCACCCTCGCGATCACGGAGACATCACTGAACAGTTGTCGTCTGGTCGTCATAATGAAGTTAATCTCATTTTTTGTCGAACCGTGGGGGCTCGACCAGGTCCACTTCCTTTGGGGCTGCTTCTGGAAGAAAGAGTTCATCATAAAGAGTCCCTCTTTTTCCATGAAGTCGGCCAGCTGCTGGCCCCTTCGGTTCCCTATACCAAATTTCCCTACTTTCAGCTCACCGTTCTCTCTTGTTCCTAGTTTTGCGTTGAAGTCTCCCATTAACACCGTATATTGGATTTTGGAGGAATGCATGGCTCTAGAGATATCCTCATACATTTCCTCCACCTCCTCATCGGGGTGTGCCGAGGTTGGTGCGTAAACCTGTATGACCTTCAGCGAATGCCGTTTGGTGATTCTGAGTATAAGGTACGCAACCCTCGTCGACACACTCCCGATCTTTACAACGTTGTTAACGAGAGACTTGTGGACGATAAATCCGACACCTCCTTGGGACAGATGGTCGCCCTCCCGGTGATAGAGCAAGTTGCCGGATTCGAGGATTACCGTGTCCTCCCCCTCTCTTCATACTTCGGATAATCCTATAATATGCCAGCGCAACTTGTCTATCTCTTCTTCCAGCTCCACGATCTTCTCGTCAGTCTTCAGGGTGCGTGCGTTGTACGTTGCCAGGTCGAGTCGTCTAAGGTGGCAACCGAACCTCCACCGGAGATTCTTAGCACCCCCTGCCCCACCGTTACCATGGTCGCCACCGTAGCCAGGAATAGCGGGGCCGCCGGGGACTGGTGGCCGTCTGTCTGTTGCTTTGATCATTGGGGGGGTATTTGCCATAGTTGCCATGCTTGGCGAGCGGGTTGGCAACCGCAGTTTTTTTATTGTAATTTTGCTGTTATCAGGAAAATGTTGCTGCACATCTCCACCCTGCTTCCCTTTTTCGCCTTTTACGACACCCACGGGAAGATACGTGGTAGTGGATATTCTTAACCGCCACTACACAGAAACGATTTGATATTGGTGTATAAATCAGGAAGAAGCTGATTTTCTCCTTGCAATATTAAATTCAGTTCATTCTATGATTTGTCAAATCGACATAGAATGGTGACTTCCACCGCCATTCACTATTTTCTAAAGCGGGGAAAGGCGATGCTTCTCATTCAAAAAAAAAATCGATTTCTGTACGAAGTTCAAAAAAGCACTTAAGGACTTTTCTTCTACTAAGCCAGCGTAGCGCATTATGATATGGTAAATCATTTTCTCCAAACTCTTCAATAAACTCGCGGAATCGCCGATGATTCAGCGCAGTGGATCTGATGAAGTTAACAATTGATATGACTGGTTTTAGAATTTCAGAAATATCCAAACATTTTTCGCACAAGGGATGTTGATAAATGATACAATGTAGGACTAATGGTTAAACCACCATCATTTTCTACAGCCTTTGACACAAGTGCAACCACTTCTTTTTTTTATCACACTTATTTTTGCCTCCATCAGTTGTGATAGATTTCAAGTTTTTCCATCGAAGGTTCTTTTTATTAATGGCATTTTCAACTCCTTTAAAAATGTTTACCCCAGTTGTCGTGCCGTGAATACTATTAACATCTAGAAGTTCTTCATACACTTCGTAGCTTTTATTTACACATCAGTTCATTCATCCAAGCGTAGAGAAAACCACTCAAGATGTCAATTTTCGTCAGACAGTTGAGATGATATATTTTCTGCAATGTCTTGCATCCTCCGAGCCACGGTGTTCGCTGACAAACTGACACTTTTAAATAAATTTACCTTTTCGGGACATATTTCTTCGGCTACTGCAATCAAGACTTCGTTTATGATTTCTCCATCGGTGAATGGTTTTCCACTTTTCTGATTTCAAGAGCCTTACTAAAAGTAACGCGGGTTACAGACTCTTGTTCAGTATTCGCTTTGGTAAACAAAGATTGCCGCGATTTCCGCGAGTGTGCGTGAGTCCGCGCTTAAAGCGTCAAATTTTTCCGTTCGCAAACTTCCTGTATATTTGGAGTAATTTTGAATATATTTCCATTTATAGTGTCATTTAATGTTATATTCTTTGAGAACAGCTATAGTTTCATTACAAACAAAACATAACGCATTATTACTGGACTCAATCGCAAAATACTGAAAGTTCCATTTATATTTGAACGTTCTACATTCACTGTCTATTTTTCGCTTCTTTTCCATACTAATAAATCACACATAAAAACAATATGTAAAATCAAAATACTGTTATGCACGGGTGTTACTTTATTTCCCAATAGACAGTTTAGCTTCCTTCCCCTTTCTTACGCAAACTGACTCACGGCTGCGTGCGTCGCTAGCCTTTTTATAATATGCAATTACTGCCATCTCGAAGTGATGGGAATACACTAGCCAGTACCAAAACTTTCTCGAACCAACGCGAAAATTCCGAAATATTTAATTACAACTAATACTACCTGTTAGTTGGTAGCTGAAATAGATAGTACATAGTACAATATATAGTATCACTATTCGCCACTAGATGTCGTTAAGTGTCACAATACACAATAGTAATTGAAATGCAAAAAAGCGTATGTTTGCTTTTTATACGTGGTGGCTCGACCGGGGAAGGACCACGCTCTCACAGAATACCAGCGTAAAATAGCAGCTTAACACTATTGTGTTTTGTATGGTGAGTGTAGAGAACCGGAGACCCTTTTTACTGGAAATGAGGCATTCCATCTTAGTCCTCACGGGTGACAACGCATCTTCATTTTGATTCGCAAACGAGGATAAATGTAGATGTCTATGGGCCAAAGCAACCACTTGTTCCACTTGGAACATACTGAAAAAATCATGGGCCTAAGGCTTCAAAGTTTGGAGACATCTGCCTTAGACTTCTTATATAAAAAAAATATTCTGTTCATTATTTTTCAGGACGTTTGCTAAAGCGATGTTTTACACCACGGAAGGCAATCAATGGTTTTGCGGCATCCTTGGTTATAAATTACATCCTGAATTTAAGCAAGGTTCTCTGAATACAATAGCTATCCTATATTTGGATAGTGCTACTGACCCATACCTATGTAAGTAGCCAACAATTATAACCGTACATACTGTACAACCTTAATTTTTTTTGTAGAAGTAATTAATAAACTTACCCTCTACCGGATGCTAAGTGAATAAGCTTTTGCAGTCCATGGATTTCTTCAACCAACTTCAAAAATTATATAGGTCTCGTTTAGAGGCCTGTTGAGATTAGTGGTGACGGGGATAGTGCACACAATTGAGGAAGGGCGGAAGGTGCTTTCTCAACTGGGTAGGACACGTAATAAAATTACGTGGACCTTAGTTAATTAATTTTTAACATATTTCATGTAATAGGTTACCGTAAAGTAACGCCTGATTAAAATAAAATAAATATACTTTAAAAAAAAAATATTATACCACAATCGCAATTGACCCAAATCTAATAAATATGACAGCTCATTTACTTCTAAAGAATCCGCCTGTGTTAGTATCACCCTCTCGTCCATTTCTGCTGACATTCATCATTATACAAATTGCAGTATTCCCGATTGAAGATCATCTTATCTTCACGCACAATCCCTGACGGGGTAGCCAGAGAGAACAGATCGCCAAGTGTCACGATCCTTACAAACCTCTTTCGCTTCTTTCAGATTCATTATCTTCTTCATGCATGCACGTCTAGGTATCCGAGTACTTTTGACCCTACCCTCTTCGAGCAATTTGCTCACATGGTCTTCGAAAGTTAGTCTCGGTCTACCTCGACACCTTTTAATATTAACTTTCGCGCTATATATTTTAAGGGTCTTTTGTCTCTCCCTGAGAAAAGACAAAGCATTTGAGTTAGTTGCAGACGTTAATGTTCTCAATATCCACCTGCTATTAGTCGACTGACTGAATTGTAAGACCAATATTAAAGAAACTATTGTTATTTATTCATCTGGATATTGAAAAACAAACATGTTTGTAGGTCACTCAATAAATTTTGATATGGTCGAAATTTAAAAATGGAACGTACCCGTGTTATATGTTTCTAAAAAACAAATTTATTTAAAAATAGAACTCTATAAGCCAATTGCTCAAAATTAAAAAAAAAACAAAGTTCTATTAATTTTCCTCCAACGCTTCCCGCGCTTTTCATTTAAAACTATGGATCTTAACCGTGAACATTTGCGCGCTATGATATATTATGATTTTAAATTTGGTTTCACCGAACAATTAAGCTTACAACGGTTACAATCAGCATTGGGAGACTCAGCTCCATCACGTGCAACAATATTTAGGGGGTTTGCTGAATTTAAAAGTGGTAAAATAAATCTTAAAATTGACCAAAGAACCGGAGCCCCGCAAACAGCAGTACTGGCAGATAATGTAAGGACTAATGAAATGTTGGTGCGAGAAGACCCACGAATCACATATACGGACATTGAAAAGATTCAAATTCAAAAAAGCATTCATACCACCCTACATCAATATGTTGGAGCGAGGAAGCTTTGTTGTCGATGGACCCCTCGTTTGCTCTCCGAAAGCGAAAAACAGACTGGTGTGGATTGGTGCCATGAAATGCGTCTACGTTTTGAAAACGGGGCATCTAGGCGTGTTTCACAAATCGTTACTGATAACGAGACATGCATATATCAATATGATCTGGAAAATAAAAGGCAATCATCGGTATGGGTCTACTCAGAAGGAACGTTACCGACAAAGCTGCAAAGACCTCGCAACGGCAGCAAAAAAATGGTGGCTAGTTTTTTTTCGCGGAGCGGACATTTTTCGTCAACAATGCTGGAAAATTGTAGGTCAGTCAACTTTGAATGGTATACTACATTTGGATTACCCAAAGCTTTTCAAGCTGTGCGGGAGAGAAGACCAAAGACCGGGCTTCGGGGAATCATGCTGCATTACGATACGAACAAAAGCATTTATTGAGGAATCTGGTGTTGAAACTCTAAGCTACCCACCCTACAGCCCTGACTTAGCTCCTACTGATTTCTTTTTGTATCCCAAGAGCCAAAGAAAAAATAAAAGGCAAGTATTTTCAAGCGCCGAAGAAGCCGTGGCTGCCTACGAAGAAGCTATTTCCGACCTGTCAGATCAAGACTGGCAAAAATGTTTTCAGAGTTGGTTTAGGCGAATGGAACTTTGTATAGAGCATGATGGAGAATATTTTGAAAAGATGTAAAATAAATATTAATAGTATCTAGAATACTTTTTGTATATATTAAAACTTATTGAGTGTCCTACGTATCAAAACCCAGTACGTGATATTCAAAAATATTTTTATTTGTAAATGTTACTTACATAGTTATTTTATACAGAAAAATCAAAACACCCAATAAAACTTTAGAAATAACGAGAAATTTTATTTTCTTAAATATGTTTATGAATTATTAAAAACTCTCCAGTAATACTCATATAGTTCTTACACGATTTTGAATGTAACAGCCAATATACTTAACGTTTTGATTTTTCAGGGAAACCAATTAAGTTGATGGTAAAAAATGAAAAAATCAGCAAGTGGAGTAACGTCTTCAGTGTCGGATATACAGACCGTAAGCTATTCTAGAATAATTGTGAGCTTTATATTAGACTAACTGATAACCGCGACTTCGTCCGCGTTGCTTGATATATTAACAAAGAAACACACGTCACTGAATACGTAGTGCTTATAAAAATGGTTGTTTCTGAAAACTTTAATAACTTTATATTAAATGAATATATCGCAACAATTTATTTTCGACTAGCTGTTCCCCGCGACTTCGTTCGCGTGTTAGGGTTTTTATGTTTCTGCGCGGAACCCTGATTCTTTTTCTAAAATGAAAGTAGCCTAAGTTACTCCTTATGAAATCAGCTATCTGCCAGTGAAAGTTCCGTCAAAATCGATCCAGCCGTTTCCGAGATTACCCGGAACAAACAGACAGACAGACAGACAGACAGACAAAAATTTTAAAAATTGTATTTTAGTTATAGGTATCGTATTTACTTTCATATGCATTTAGTAAAAAACTGTAATTTTGACATTACAAACAGACACTTCAATTTTATTTATTTGTATATATGTATAGATAAGGGCCAAGTGTCTAAAAAATAAAACTTAGAAAACATAATTAAAATCTATCCAGTAGTTTTTCCGTGATGCGTGCACAACTGCAAGCCTCTATCATTTTGTTTATAAAGAAGATTACAATGTAATGTGGTGGTAATGCGTTGGTGCATATATTACAGCTACCGTTACAGCCTATCAAAGTTCACTGCTGAACATATGCCTCCTTCAAAGGGGACGTTTGCCATAGTCGCCACGCTTGGCAAGCCAGTTGGCAATCGCAATTTTTTATTTTTAGTCGTTATTAGGGAGACGCTGCTGCCCGTCTCCTGATTGGTTTTTCTTTTTCGCTTCTTACGGCACCCACCGGATGATATGATGTAGTACATATACTTACACCGACCGCCACTATTCGGTAATTACCGCTTATATTAGTGTAAATAATTAACTAACCGGATAAACTAAGGTTTAGTTATACGCGTAAGCTAATGTTAACTTTTTTACATGATAAGCCTTAACTTTGTTTTAACCGAAACTCAACAGTTCGAAATAGAGAATCAAATGAAAATAAACTAAATGTGAAAAAAATTATTCAAATTAACTTAACTAATAAACTTACTAATAATTAAAATATTTTTAAGACAGAAGGTGGATAATATAAAATTAAATTATCCAGGCCGGAGAGATCCAATTTCTGATGCGGTACGGTACTCCTGTAATGATGGTGAAATTGGTTTGTTGGTTTAAATGACCAACTTCTGGTTCAGAGTTATTAAAAGATAATTTTCACGTAAATTATAAACTGTATGAGGCGATGAGAATTTACTATTTCGCGATACTGCAAATGCTCCTCCTAAACTCCTAAATTCGGGTTACAAGAATGGTGTGAAGGAATGCATGTGCACTTCACCTGGACTTCTGCCAATCTGCCTCGTGTCTCCAGGCGCTGTGTTGCACGTTGGTTCATTGCCGGCTGTTTTCACACATATAACTTCGCAAATAATCACGAAATATATCGTTATAGCAAATGTCTACATATGTATATTCTATTACGTTTTTGTATAGTTAAATACCCAAACCACCCAAAGGTAGGAGCTATCACGCGAGATATAGGTGATGTGGTTTGTTGTGAGGCTTGTGAGCTTGTGAGAACCCCGTTTTACACAAGAGTGCACATGCTAGGCATAAGAGGCAGTAGATAGGAAACCCGGGGTGGGCTTTGCTGTATTCTCATTGGATAAAAATTAGGCGGTATTTGCAAAGTGGCGCGAACACATGTGAAGTTCGCCAAAACGCATTGGGGCAACGCGACGGACACTCCCTTGCCCTAAAATCCTTTCAGAAATGAGGGAAGCCTGTGCCCAGAAGTGGGATTTATATAAGCTGTAACTTTTAACTAAAACTGCACATTACTTGGTTAAATTATATTTAAATGTATTAGATTTATTCATAGAAAAACGAGGTGTAATCGATTGCCAGATGGTTATGGTGTATCTCTGGGTCCACCACAAAGCCGCAAATACTTTTATAATTAATAAATTATTGGGCTAAAAATGAAATTTCTAATTAAACCTAAGCTAAGCCGGCTAATGTTATATGTAGTTTTAATCTTTACAAAACACAGTACAAAAGAACTTTATTATTTTTACTAGATTGTTATTGCACTAGATTATTGCAAGCTCCAACTATCCACCTATTTTCTATTAAAATATAAACTATTCCATAATTAATGATTTCTTATATTTACGCGAACACTATACATTTTTAAATAAAACTAATTTTACGGATTTTATCGCGTATATTAATCTATGTTTATATTCCCGACGTTTCGGGTGCTTTCCAGCACCCGTGGTCACGGGGGACTGAGGTGTTTGACGTCCTGCTGTCATAGTTAGCCCGGCTACCTTCAGTTTTTTAATATTAATTTTTGGTCCGATTTACGCAGAATGAGCTTACAGTATCTTGAAGTCTAGCAGTGGTATATTTGGGTTTGGATTTGATTTTATTAATTATGGGATCCCAAGCAGATGGCAGCACCCATCCATCTTCTCTATTGAAATTAGGATGTTTTTTTAATTTCAATAGCCTCGCGAATCATCCTTGGGAGGAATCGGTGTTCTTTTGCGAGGATTTGTGGTCTATCAAATCTAATGTAATGGCGGGGACGATCTTGAACATGTTCACAAACTGCAGACTTCCCGATACGTCGGTGCTTCACGTCAGCTATATGTTCTTTAACGCGGGTTTTAATAGATCTTTTTGTTTGTCCTATGTACGAGAGACCACATTCACAATCCAGCTTGTACACTCCTGCATCTTGTAGAGGGATATGACACCTGACGGATGGTAAAAGTTGACCAATCTTCTTCAGCGGCTTGAAGTATGTTTTAATGGAAACTCGCTTCAAGATGTAGCCAACCTTGTCTGTGACTCCTCTGACATAGGGTAGTACAGCAGGCACACGGCCGACTGTGGCTGGCTTCACTCGGTCACTGTGACGTAGGCGCGGGACCCGAAGCTTGTTGTCTTGCAGTACTTGCTCGACGTGCTGAAGCTCGGCGGCCAGATGTTTTCTGTCACAGATCCCTCGTGCTCTCTGAAACAAAGATTTTCCCACGGTAGCTAACTGTGAAGGATGATGGTGAGTTTCACCATTTAGATATCGGTTGGTATGGGTGTTTTTTCTGTACACAGTATGACCAATAGTGTTATCAGGATTTCGGATGACTAAAACATCTAGGAAGGTATTGTTTGCCTCTAACTCCATTGTGAATTGTATTTTAGGGTTTATGGAATTAAGGTGGTTTAAAAATGCAGTTACTTTGTCAGATGGTAAAATTGTGAAAGTATCGTCTACGTACCGCTTGTAGAATCTTGGATTTACAGGAGCAGTAAGAGGGGTTTTCTCCTCAAAGTCCTCCATGAATATGTCGGCGACTACGGGAGATACAGGTGAGCCCATTGCCACTCCGTCTACTTGCATGTAGAACTCTTCTTTCCACAATAAATAGCCAGATGTGAGGCAGTGTTTGAGTAATACTGCATATTCTGTAGGCATGTTGTTATCTTCTAGCTTTCTAGTAACAATTGAGATGCAGTCTTCAATAGGTAGGCATGTGAATAGTGACTGAACATCAAAACTGAACATAGTTTCATTGTCAGCGAGATGTAGGTCTTTAATCTCACTAACAAAATGGTATGAATCCTTTGTGTGTGCTCTGGTATCTCCTCTTAGTGGTGACAGTATTTTAGCCAAGTGTTGAGCCAACTTATAAGTTGGTGAATCGATCTGGCTTACTATAGGACGTAGTGGAGCGTTTGGTTTGTGTATTTTCGGTAACCCATACAACCTCGGTGGTTTGGCATGATGGTATTTTCTATTCTCTCTATTCCATAATTTATTATTATTATTATTATTTTTATAAAAATTTGGAATAACAAATTTTTATTCTTTTTTATTTTTAATTCATTTTCAAATTTTATTGTGATCGACTTACGCCTGAGGTGACAAACAGAGCACGCACATAATGTGAAATTTTTGATTTCTTTGATATATTATATATTCCTTTTCAGTTACGTAATACCCTACGATATACACTCAGGGGTCTCCAAACTTTGAAGCTTTAGGGCCATAATGATTTTCTCAGTGTTTCAAGGGCCAAAACAGTTTTAATTTCTCTGCCCTTAACTATATTTTTAGACTAGTTGCAAAATGTACGACCTAATTAAACATACGTTTTTTTTACATTTCAATTACTATTGTGTATTGTGACACTTAACGACATCTAGTGGCGAGTAGTGATACTATGCATTGTACTATGTACTATCTATTTCAGCTACCCACTTGATTGTGGGTAGCTGAAATAGACAGTACATACAACTAATGACACCTTACATACAACGAATGCAGTACGTTAAAAATAAATGAAACTTTCAGTATTTTGTGATTGAGTACAGTAATAAAGCGCTATGTTTAATTTGTAATGAAACCATAGCTGTTCTCAAAAAATATAACATTAAACGACACTATGAATCGAAACGTCTTGAAAATTACTCCAAATATACAGGAAGTTTGCGGACGGAAAAATTTGAAGCTTTGAAGCGCGGACTGAAATCGGAGCAATCTTTGTTTACCAAAGCAAATACTGAACAAGAGTCCGCAACTCGCACTAGGTTTCATGTGTCTCTTGAAATCAGAAAAGTGAAAAACAATTCACCGATGGAGAAATGTATGTAATCATACCAATCAGTTCAGCCATTCCAAAGATTAGGCTGCACAGACAAACATGTATTAAAAATGTCTTAATAGCTTGCTTATAACTCCCTAAGTTACTTCGATATTACAGACATAAACCTTAATTTTATTTATATGTGTGGATTAGTAGAGAGCCTCGGTAGCTCAGAGGCTATGCGCTCGTTGTAAATTTCACAGTATACGAGCAACCCGGGTGTTACGGCCCACAGCTGCCCCTGCAACGTTCGCCTTGGCTAGGGCCCATAGTAGCCTCTTCGACGGGCAGCCGTGGGTACGAGCCCAAATGGCCTTATGGAAATATGACCTATCATACTACAAAATAAGGAGAAGGCTAGGAAGATAAATGGTACGTACCTGCATCCGAATCTAAGACCGCTCCAAGGCTCGGTCAGGCCGTAGGTAGAGTATATACATGTAAAGTGGTGTTTAGTGGTGTGTATATGAGGGTGACCTGGCCCAGCTGAGGTGACCTGGCAGTTTCTTTCTTCATTGTCACTATTTCAGTCTATTAACTTTATTGTACATTTAACTAACTTAAACTCGCCTAATTCCACATTCATTGTAGAATCGAACACGTGATACCCGACAGTAACGGACATTAGTTCAAAGTTCATTAATTAATGTCCCGGATTCATTTATCACCAAATTACAAATAAGGAACTAACGCGATATCTTCATGAGTCACACGGTTCAGCGTTAAACACAACTAAGTTCCTTCGTTCGATACTAAACACCACGCTGCAGTAAGAATTCAAATTTAACCTAGCTGACACGCAAACTGGCTACAGAGTCAACACACAAAAGGCTCTTAACGCGACGGTATAATTAAACAATGATTTCCAGAACAATCAACCGGGAGACGCCCTCGAAAAAAGGAATGCGCGGTTCGAATTCTAGACCGTATATCTACTCGGCGCGCGCGTGCGAAATTCCACGTCACCCAAGCAAGTTAAATATTGCAAAATGCACTTCTCCACGCATTCACTATATTTTACAATTTACACACAATTGCACAATTACTTTCAAGAAGTTACTTTAATCAGTTGAACACAATACAAGCCTCTTGTCAAGAACTTAAACCCTAGACAACCTAATCTGAGGCGGTTTTTACAAAACCCCAGTTACGTAGCGAAGTCACACACACAAATTCTAAAAATCTAGACCGTAACCCCAAAATCGGTTGCGCAAAACATCGGCAGCGGCAACCGAGGTATGCTAGTTAACTGTACCGCTGCCAGCGAGCTACCCTCACCCACTGTCTTCAGCTCGCGTGTTGAGCGACTGCCCGCGGCACGCGGCCGCCTCCTCCCGCCGTCGGCATTACCTCACTTCGACACCATCGGGTGATTCGACAAAGTCGAAGGTGATTGGGTACCGTCTCAAAATGCCCATTTTTGGGCATAAACACCGGGTTTGATTCCCGGTGGTACCAATGCAATTGTTAATTGCAATTTTAGTGATGATTTACCACGTGTTTGGCGGTGAAGGAAAACATCGTGAAGATACCTGCATGTCTGGGAAATAAGAAAAAAATATTTCGAAGACATGTGAAGTTCACCAACACGCGTTGAGGCCACGCAAAATTTCCTTGCCCTAAATCCCTCTCAGAAATGAGAGTAGGCCTGTGCCCAGCATTGGGACGTAAATAGACTGGAACTAACTAAATACGTTTATGTAAACTTTTAAAAATTTGTTTTTATATAGTTCTAACAACGAACGAAATTTAACGTGCTTTGAATAATATTTCAGGTGACATGGTTCTGAAACAAGAAATGTTTGCTTTAGAGTATGTTAGTAGAACTACGTGCGAAGAATTTTATATAAAGGAAGAGGTAAAGTTAAGTTACAGCTAAGATATTGTGCAAATGTAATTAGCATACTATATAATACAATATTAAAACATCTTTTACTGTTTAAAAATACTGGTTCAAATGCATGGTTACTGTAAGCTGGCGCTTTGATCCTGTCAAAAGTAACGATGTAAGAATATTCACTAGCCCAAATCGTTCTGTGGGGATCGTAAGAGGAGACAGTGGGAGATGGGCAACAGTATCTTCCTGATTACAACTTAAAATTATAAAAAAAACTGCGGCCGCCAAAATACCTGACGAGCGTGGTAACTATGACAAAAATCCCTAACGGTGCGTACATATTATATAACATAACATGTTATAAAACATTATATATCGTGTTTCAGTAACGTGGAGACTGAATTTTATAGGACGTGTTATATAACGTGACACAAATGTTCTATATCTAGAGAGTATTTTTCTCTAGTCAATAAACTAGGACGAACCCAGTATCTATGTTTTTTTTCTTTTGTTATTTAAAAGTACAAGAGTTGCTACAGCAGCTAGCAAAACGTCCTCTTGTGTCGACATTGCGAATAGCACTGCAGAACGACAATCGAATGTCATATAACATTGTTATAATGCATTGTTATTCTGATATGTACAGTATTGTTATATGTTGCAATGTTGAAAAACAATGTAACATAATGTGCACGTGTTATAAAACAAAAGTTACACAACATGTTACTTAATCTGTACGCACCGTAATATGAGGCAATCTATGGGGAGGCCCATGTCAAGCACTGGACTTTGATAGGCTGAAATGGAAATCTAGCACTTAGCGCTCAACTTAAACCGGTGGCCATTTTTACTGTCTACCTTCCGATTCTTAATCGAGGACTAGATACGTGTTTTTTTACGTGGTAGAGCCATGTTGCAGCCATATTACTGATATAGTTGTAGTTCGAATGGGTCGGCTCGACCGGGGAAGGAACACGCCCTCACAGAATACCAGTGTCAAACAGCAGCTTAACCAGCGTAAATAAGCTTAATTGCTATTTTTCGTATAGTGAGTGTAGAGAACCGGAGACTCTTTTTACTGAAAACGAGGCATTCCATCTTAGTCCTCAAGGATGACACGCATATGCATTTTGATTCATAATCGAGGGTAGTTGTAGATGTTTATGGGCCACAACAACCGCTTACTATCAGGCGGTCTGTGTGCCCCTTTGTCACCCCCTTTAAAAAAACATACATAAACTCTTTAGCCTCCCAAGCAGCACACAAGCGTTATGAAGGTTAATATTTCAGCCCACATAGAACTTAGAGTTCTATTACAAGTATATAAGAGCATTAAAAAGAGTTTGTATGCATATAAGAGTGGTCATTTACGTCTGCATTTTGATTCTTAATCGAGGATAGATGTATGTAGATGTCAACAGGGCACAGTATCCACTTAACATCATGTTGTGTTAGCATGCTGTCCCTTGCTTATACAGCTATAAGTGTTATTATAGTATCCTTCTAAAACTTATTCTTATGGTGTCACTGTACACTATTTTAAATACAGTAGTTTTATGACTTCTATCTATGAGAGTGATATAAAACTAAAAAAATAAATAACAACCATAGTATAACTTGAATCTGTATAAGTGACAGAATATCGCTATTTTGAATGCTTTGCGTGTGTATATCGTGAAAATTAACAAAATTAATTTGTTATCATTATGTGGGAAAAAGGAAAAAGATTTAGTGCAGTTAAAAGATCATGTTAAATCTAAATTAAATTTATCCAACACTGTTCCCAAGTGATGATTTTAAACGAGAATCATATGTTATGTTGAAAAAACTGCTATACAGCGTACGTAATAAAATATCCCATTATAGAACTTATTAAAAACCAATGGCTGCATAATATAATCCATAACATACATAGTACAGCTACTAAGACTATAAGACCCTCGAAATACCGTTTAGGCTGTTTAGCAAATTATCGCCAATATTAAGACCAATGAAAAGAAAATTTAGTCAAGTCTATATACCATTACTTTCAGTTTGACTAATGATCACTGTACCCCATTGTGCGTTCATATCCATTAATTTAATATAGTTTTTTATTCGAACCTACACAACCGATATTTAGTTACCGTATTTAGTATTTTCTCATTATGTTATTTTGTTAATTTGCTGGCGCGGCAATTTTTTGATAGAAAACATAATTATACAAGTGTACCGTAAATCTAATTTTGCACTTTCAATTCAGCAATTATCACCGTCAAAACTCAACTACAATCCGAATATAATATTAATATGTTAAATATATGTTAAGACATTAAATGTCGCCATCATTCAATAAACGTTCTTTTTGGTTTATATTAATTTGTAATTCCGTTCAAAAACCAATTTAGAATGTTTGTCTTTAAAAGTTACTTATAAGACAATATATGTAGTGTAATAGTTTCCTTGCTCACCAAATAACAGCTGTAATACAGCAGTTATACAGCCTCTTTTATGCTTGTACAGCTACTGTACAGTGTTACTAACGCTACTGGACCTATGCTATCTGTGAGGCGTAGACGTATATAGGTTGTAACTAAATTCTAACTGATTTTGTCTTTTTTTAAATTTTAGATAAATTTTGATTATCTGTGGCCAACGAATGCACTGTGCTACAAAGTCTTAAGCGCCAGAAAAACGTGCGTAAATGATGCTGGGATGGTTCTGGCCAGCAATCTCACTGATGGATGGGTTTTGGTAAGAATTATATTATTATTGTTATTATTATTATTATGTATCTGCCGTTACAGTTACATCCTATTAAAATCCACTGCTGAACATAGGCCTCTGCCATAGATTGCCTTATAGAGAGGATATTTAGTAGAGATAGTTTTTATTTTTAATTGTTATTAGGAAGAAGGTGCTGCTAATTTCCTGATTTGTTTCCCTATGTCGCTTCTTACGACACTTACGGAATGCTGTGAGTTAGCGGATATTATTACATCGCCACTACACGGCAATGTATTTTAAACGAGTGTTTTTTAATTAATTTGAAGTGACAAACGGACAGTTCAAGCGGTTACTTCAGATTATCAGCGGTTTTAGAATATGCACTAGCCCATATCGTGGATGTAGTAAGAGGTGTCATAGAGAAACTGAAACAGGAGATGGGAAGCACTATTTTCCTGATAACCCTGACAACAATACGCCTGGCAAGAGTGGCAACTATGGCAAAATCCTCCCTTGGAGGATATCTTTGGGTGAGGACTATGTTCAGCAATTGACTTTTATAAGCTGTAATGGTACTTCAGTTTACCAACAACTTTAAACAAAGAAGGCCCCAAATGTGTTGACAACTCCCAAGGCTAAGATTGGGGCAGTTCAGAAAACTGATGGTAACAATCATATCCAATCAATCTGTGATATAGGAACTTGTTTAATAAATAGAGACGTGTTGATGCTTCTATAACTTTAATTAGACTGATCTCTATTCTTAACTTAACTCTAATATATATAGTCGTGGGGGCTATACCACACTACACCTTCCACCGACAAAAAAATAAAAAAATAAATGAATACATTTGTTTTTTTCAACTTATAAAAATAAATATAAAACATGTTTATTATTAATATAAATTACAAAAATACAATGTAATTATATATTATTTGACCTAAATATAAATTACAAAAATAAAATATAGATATATTCTATGGGTAGTTCGGGTGGCCAGATCCATCTGCGCCATAGTATCTTCAAGGTCACAATAGAATTGGTATGATGTATCATGCATACATACAACATAATTATTTGACATATTTAGGTAATTCGCGAAAATGTAGTATAGTTGCTTGTACAACTTATATTTTAAAATACTCTTCTCTTATTTATTTATTCATATTCTTTCATCTCATTCCTTATTTTTGATTGTTAGGCCTTTTTATTATCTTTTTTTTCATAATTCTTGTACGTACCTTTTTATATTTTTGACCTTTAGCTGGCTTTATTTCTCTCTATTCACTTATATATTTATTCATTATTTAGATACCGGGAATCGGAGTGTTAATTCATTTCATTTATATTTTATTTCGTGATATTTATCACGTGGGTTCTTTATACATATGGGCCCCCCGTTTACTTGGGTATTCTATTAAATTTTTCGACTGCCTCGTTGGTCTAGTGGTTGTAGTAGTGCGACTGCTGATCACGAGGTCCCGGGTTCGAATCCCGAGTCGAGCCAAAAAAAATCAGTTATTGAATTTTTCCATCGAGAAATTGTCAGTAGCCGCCCGGAGTCAGAAAGTTGGCGGTGTCTCACCCCCGTGCCTCGGAAAGCACGTATAGCCGTTCGTCCTGATCTCTCTCCGGTGGCGTCGGTTTACCGTCCCATCGGGCTATGAGAGTGATGCAATAGAGAGTGCACCTGTGCTTGCGCATACACTTGGGCACTATAATCCTGTCCTGCGCCGATGGCTAGTCTCCTTTGAGACTGGCCGCCGTGACCGAAATTCGGTCTGGAGGACATTATTATTATTATATTACATTTTCATTACATAAATTTCATTTTATTGGTAGAAAAACTTTTTTAATCCTACTAAATCAAGGTAAACTGTACCTGAACTTGTGCGAACAACCTTGAGGTCTACGTTTAAGTCATTTTAAAAGGACTCCAACAATTGTACGCCCTTATCAATTTTTGTGATAAGGTCATCTTTCAAACCTGCCATATTGCGAATCTCTTCGTTTCGCTTTCGGTCGGCCATGGTAATGCCGCACATTTTACGAAGAGATCGCATCTCCACTGCATTCAACTTGCTTTTATGCTTCTTCTGGCATACCCAGGTTTCGCTGCCATATAACAAAGTCGGTACCAACACTGCGTTATGTATTGCAAGGCGTGCACTCTTCACTACGCCTTGCCTTTCGACTAACGCAGTCAGGGCACCATTGACTTTGTTCCCGGCAGCGACACGCCTGTCCACATCTAAATCACATCTTCCATCCCGGCTAAAAGCTCTCCCCAAGTATACAATTTCATTTACCTGTTCTAGACATTCCTGATTTAACCATATTTCACACTTCGTTCTCTCTTCGTCCCTTTCAAATACCAGAACCTTAATTTTATTATCATTCAAACGGAGACCTTTAACCTTGATAAGGGCGTGCTTCGGTGGTTTGGGCACGTTGAGCGAATGAGTGAAGACCGAATGGTGAAGAAAATATATAGCGCGAAAGTTAATATTAAAAGGTGTCGAGGTAGACCGAGATTAACTTTCGAAGACCATGTGAGCAAATTGCTCGAAGAGGGTAGGGTCAAGAGTACTCGGATACCTAGACGTGCATGTATGAAGAAGATAATGAATCTGAAAGAAGCGAAAGAGGTATGTAAGGATCGTGACACTTGGCGATCTGTTCTCTCTGGCTACCCCGTCAGGGATTGTGCGTGAAGATAAGTAACAATTGTCACGGAGGAAAACTAAGTTCACACTATAATCCAATGAAGGATGTGACCTCTATGTACCATTATCAAGGGTAACAATATCTAAGACTTCTCTAATCCCTAACAGTACTAATATGAGTAAAATTATTCACATCACCTGTACTGAAGGTATTGTTGCCTAGTACCCGTTACTCCTGATTTTATCATCCATTCATGGAAACATACCCTGCTCGAGGACTATATGATTTACTAGTGATGGACGTTCTCGTATTCTTATTTATGCAGGTCAACTTTTGTTTTATTTCTATTTATTTCCTTACATTTATAGTATTTATTCCTCCTTTTTTTTTTACTCTTCCTTTATTTAATAGTACCCAAGATTATAGACAATATTCCTACACAATTCATAATAAATTCTCATTTCCCCCATTGATAATACATTAAAACTTAATCCGCATTTAATCTTTTGGGAACAAACTTAAAAATTAATCGGTTATTAGTTTTTCTAAACTTTCAGCTTATCAGGCTATTTGTATGTGGATATGGTAATCTCCGACAATTTTCTTTACCTATGCCACACTTTCTACTTATATTTCTATCAATATCTTTCACTCATAATGATAAACTCCGTAACTTTTCATAGATTTACTTACGTCTCTTATAAATATCATATAGCCTCGTAAAATATTTAGTTACATCATTGTCAGTCAGGTATTGAGGCTCACATTATGCCCATAAACAAAATTTATATTAATTAATTGCATACCTAATATAATTAGGTATCTTAATCGTTTTAAACGAAGTTCAAATTCATAATCCACACAAATAATTTGATATTCAAACTATTATCCCAAAAAATTATGAATTATAATAGTAAAAGTTTAATCAATATTAAACCAAAAATTAATTATTGCATTTCCTACTAAGAACAAAGAAGTCAATGTAAAGCAACGTAATCATTTTTAATAACATAACAGCAGACAGATCAAAATACAAATTGTAATTCCACTCCTAGCCGCGCAAGCGATTTGAGACACCTTTGTTTTAATTACCAAAGTACGTATATGGAAACGTTTGCGATTACATAATATGATCACCTAATTTTAATATAACTTATACAATATTATTATTACATACATATATGGATACAAGTAAAATGATTGTTCTAACTTTCTTATTTATTATACAGAATTTTAGATAGTCACATTACGTTTACCTGGATCGAAAGAAATTACTAGAAGTATATTTATTTAGGTTTATATAATATATAGTATGAGGAAAAGAAAAATTAACACTTATTAATAATACCGAATTGTTTTAACCCTTTTCAAATTCAATACTTACATTTAAATAAAATTTAACAATAGAAAAAAAATCAGAACGAAAAATATCACCGGTGTTATTTTAACTAAACGAGAAATTAATTGATGATAAACCATGGTATATTTAAAAATGTAATCTACTATATCATTTCATTAGTTTTTACAGGACGCAGTAATAAAATAATATAAAACAATAAACAATAACTAAATAAAATTTAATATAAAATTGTCTTGTGCCTTAATACCAATGCCAAAAGTGCCTAAAATGCTTAATTTTTGATATTGTAATATGATTGAATTTTTTTTTATATATATAAATAGTGATAAAAATATTGAAAAATCAATTGTATCGTGAATTATCTGATAAATAATTTTAATTTAAACATACGAGTATTAAATATAGAATATTTAATACTTAACTTCAACAAATATTATAGCAAAAACAATATAAAAACAGTCTCAAATTGATAAACAAAGTTTTAAATGGAATTATAATCACACAGGTACGAAGTTACCTCTTAAGTATTTCTTCTTTGTTCTTTTCGGCTCAATTTTCACATTCTTCTGGACGAAGCTTGCAAAAGTACAACTGTTTCTTTCCTTTTAAAATTAATCTGCCGTTTCTTGAATTTCGTGAATATAAAAATCACTTTTTATTTTCCTCTTAGTTGCCTCCATAGTACTACTTCATATTATACATTCTACTTTTTAACTTTTCAATCACCTTCTGTAAAATTATTATTGTGGCCTCTTCTTGTATTTATATTTTTTATTTTTTCGTCACATCCGGGTATATATATTCCGCGTAGTCCGGGTAATATTTACATTATTTTCAACAATTTTTGCAGGCCGCGGCGGTGCGCGTGCATTATAGCAGCGCACCGCCTGGCAGGGTCGCCATGTGATATAGGAACTTTTTTAATGAATAGAGACGTGTTGATGCTTCTATAACTTTAATTAGACTGATCTCTATTCTCTATTCTTAACTTAACTCTAATATATATATATATATATACAGGAAATTTTTGGAACGCTCCCGAAAACTAAGACAGACGACAGTACCAAGTACACCTTTGATGATGGGTGGAATATAAAATCGATCCTGATGAATGAAAAATCATCTTTTCACAACGTTTTATTAGCTTTATTCATTCTTTATCATATTAGTACAGCTAAATGAAACGATAATTTCATAAAAAAAAATCATGAAAATAATGAAACATAAAACCAGCATTGGAATTGAACTTAAATTTTTGCGAGAACACGTATTGTTCTTTAGGACTTATTAATTTCTGTCAAATTAATTGTGCAACTCCGATAGTGATTTTCCTCTGAAGTTCTACGTTTGGCTGTACCATTACGTGACAAAACGGAAAGAGTGCCTCAAGAGGGGAATAGTTCCGAGGCTACCAGCGGATACCTTCTCCAGGACAGTATTGTGTCATCTAGCCCAGGCCACTTACACACATATTCATACAAAGCACACATACATTCATGACACTTCCATCAGCCGGGCAGGTCCTAGTGAACCGTCTCCGCTCCAGAATCAGGTAAGTGCCTTTCCCTTACCGATCTTTCCCCCTTTGTTTATTTTAATTAGAGACCTTCCACTTTGGCCTTAAAGGCCCGACCTGCATCTGCCTGTAGGTTCTTCCTACCATGGGCCCGGGAGGATCCTACTATTAGATAGGCAGCTGCACGCCGTAACAATGCGTCTTTTATTCGACGTTTTTGTGTTGCCAGGAGTATTTTTAAGCTAAGATGAAAAGGAAAATTCGTTTTATTTAAATTAATTAAAAAAAATATTTATTTATACGATAAGGGTGTCAAACGAGCACACAGTCCACCTGATGGTAAGTGGTTGCTGCGGCCCATAGACATCTACATCTATCCTCTATTACAAATCAAAATGTAGATGCGTTGTCACCCGTGAGGACTAAGATGGAATGCCTCATTTCCAGTAAAAAGGGCCTCCGGCCACCTGCATTCACCAAGCTAAACGCAGAGGTAAACCTCTACTTCACGCTGGTTTTCTGTGAGGTCGTGGTACCACCCCGGTTTGAGCCGGCCCATCCGTGCGACAGCAAAAGCTGCCTCGTGGCTCTACCACTGTTAAAAAAAATTATCAAAAAAATAAGTTCGTCTTTAAAATCTTCATGTTTCAACGTATATATTTCAATTTTCATATTGATACCTTTTAATATACTTTAGACACACCACGGTCTGAAAGAAAAATTCATCTATTTATTTTTATTTCCATTTTACGTTTTTGTTAGTTGCGTCCTTCTTTATTATGACGGCAGAATGCCTAACCCGGCCGGCTCGTGTCGCCTCACGCTGTGACGCTGTAGGTTTCAGTCTCGGCGGGGTTCGTTCGTTTTAGTTTTTGAGACAGTTCCGTGTTGATTTTATACACGCGTGCACGAGCGACATTTCAATCGTTTTGTTTGTTAAATAATTATTGTTATTACTGGTGATTACGTGTTGGTATTATTCTTGTTGTTACGTTTTTTGATTCTTTTTTGTTTTAATAATGCCTAACGCGTACGTTTATAGTGCTCGTGAATACGGCTACATGTTAGGTATCCGAACGAAGTACACGAAGTATCGCTAAATAAATTGTTAAGACGTCGGGATGGAACAAGTGTGTCATACTGTGCAGTGCACAAAGTGTTGAAGCGTAACCGAATGCGCCCATATAAATTGCACAAAGTGCAAGCTTTAGTTCCCGGCGATCACGACCGCCGACGAGTTTTCTGCCGTTGGTTATTATACCAGCAACAACGTGTGCCTGGTTCCATTGAGCACATTATCTGGACGGATGAGTAGACATTTACCAGAAACGGCCTGTGGAACCGAAGAAATACACACGTGTTTTCAGAGGTTAACCCGCACGCTGTTCGACAAACCGGGCACCAAACCCGGTTGGTCGGTTAACGTATGGGCAGGTTTATTTAAGGATCGCATACTGGGACCAGTGTTTCTGCCACAGCGACTGAACGGACAGCGATACCTGAACTTTATAAATGAACAGTTGGTTGACACCTTAGTCGACCTATCGTTGGCTGAATATCGCCGCACATGGTTTCAGCATGATGGTGCACCTCCACATGTCGTGAGGTTCGTCCGTGAGCACCTCACAGAATGATTTGATGATCGCTGGATTTGGCGGACTAAGACCACACGCTTGGCCACCTCGCTCACCAGATCCGACCTCGTTAGACTTATTTCTGTAGAGTATGTGAAAGAAAGGGTTTTTAATCCCGAGTGTGATAGTGCTGACGAAACTACAAAAGGATCGTGGATGTTTTCGACAAACTACGCCCGGACTGTGTTGAAGACCACACGATGATACCCCGTCTCCTTGAGGAGACGCAACGCCGAGCCCAAATCTGCCTTGAAATGAATGGAGCACAATTTTAGCCGCATCTCATAAGACCACGGAGGATTTAGAGCGGTAAGCTGTTTCATAACTATTTTTTTAAATAACTTAGTACTGAACTAATCTGAATAGGTACATAACTGTATACATGAGAATAATAAACATACCTACACGATGAATAAAAACGCATGACTCTAACCTTGGTTACATTTGATTTAAGTATTTTTTCATTAGCGGGAAATCGAACCAGTTATTTGGGTTATTTAACCTGTAAATTCGGATTAAAGTGGCTACGTGGAGACAAGTACAGTGGCAAAATAGTAGGTTAAGTAGATAAGTTAGGCATTTAGACAAGTGTTGTAAATTATTAGGTATTGTGGTATGGCCCGCTAGATGCGAGCCGCGCGAATTTGCGTTCGCGCGTACATTGACCTTTAATCAGCTGATATGAATTCAGTAATTCCACTGCTGGTTTTATGCTTCAGTATTTTCATGATTTTTTTTAATGAAATTATCGTTTCATTCAGCTGTACTAACATGATAGAGAATGAATAAAGCTAATAAAACGTTATGAAAAGATGATTTTTCATTCATCAGGATCGATTTTATATTCCACGCATCATCAAAGGTGTACTTGGTACTGTCGTCTGTCTTAGTTTTCGGGAGCGTTCCAAAAATACCCTGTATATATAGTTGTGGGAGCTATACCACACTACAAATCATAATATAGCTCCAGCATGGCTCTACCACGTATAGAAGCACTGCTTTATGTGTTGTTAGTCCCTTTCTTAAAGGGGATATATTTGCCGTGGTTGTCTCACTTAGCTATCCAGTTGGCAACAGCAGTTTTTTAATTATTTATTTGTTATCGGGGAGATGCCCCTGCCATCTTCTGATTCAGTTTGATATGAGGTTGTGGATGCCCGATGAATGCAGGTGGCTGAGGATCGTATTTTGTGGCATTTCTTTGGGAGGCCTACGTTCAACATTGGAGTAGTGATAGCTGTAATAGATGTATGCATGGATCATATTATATCATTCATTTCCAAAAAAAAGTATAAATTGGTCGCAGTGTTGAATACACTAGGTTCAACCCTAATAAGAACAAACTATGATTTGAAGTTGTTCCAATGCGCGCGCACACTGACACCTAAAAGCGACAATTTTAGTGGGTAATTTTCTCTCAAATTATCATGGGAAACCTCTAAACCACATTTAAGGTAGTTATTCAAATATATATGAATCTACAACGCGTGTTTTATTTATATTTTTTTGTTATTTTTCTTTGGTTACGTTAAAGAATTATGTATAATTTCATACGTGCGTACATAAGTACACACACATACACGTTTTTTTTTATTTAGACGGGTTTAAGTACTCAAGGACCAGGATGTTCACTGCCAGCAAGGTATATAAATATCTTTCCTTACGTGAACTGGATAGGAGAAAGTACTGGAGCGACAAAAGTAACTCGACGGTCTAGTTACTATAAAGGAGCCATCGACCCCTTCGCGCCTGGGTATAAATCATTTATTGATATGTTCTTCAATAAAATTAAGAAACCACATATATCACCTGTGCTACCTGGTGAGTAATCCAAAGTTTTTTTTAGATATATTTTAGTATGAGGATTTAGTATGTTAATGTGACAAATCTTTAATCACGTTTATGTGAACCATCTTAGTCTCATTATGGAATGTCTTGTTGCCAATAAAAAGGGTATCCGGTTCCCGTATTCATCATACGAAACACAATAACATTAAAGTATTATTTCACGCTGGTATTCTATGCGAGCGCGGTTTTCTAGTCTAGCGGACTCATTCATGCTGCAGCAATATTAGGGTAGAGCTGGCTGTGTGAAAATCTTGAAAACGCATGTTTCCAGCTGTAAACTTGAATTGACAGAGACAACAAGATTATTCTTAGCTTTTTTGTAAGTATTTTTAAGACGCAAAAAACGTTTTTTATGCTAGCTGGTTTCCAGCGCAGTGCTGCTGCAGAAGAAATAATTGTAAAAATATCGTTTTAAATTTGGAAGAGTTATATTGTTTTATAAGGAATGATAATACATTAATTGAAATTGAATGATATATTATAACTTCAAATAAATTTATTCGTATGCTCGCACCATCTACTGTAAGTTAATTGCACTATGTTTATAACTGTCGCTCAAGTGCAAGCAATAACTTGACAAAGTTTTACCGTAACCTGATGAACGGCATGGCAGCGCGAAAAATACGAACAAACAAGCATTAATTTTTATATATTAGATAGATTTCTCATTTTAGTCGTATCCCTCTTCAACCTCTATACATCTCACTGCTGAGAACATACCTCCTCGCATTTCTGAGAAAATTATGAGGCAATTACTGCGTTGCTCTAGTGCTTGTTGGCGTACGTTCGGTACTTCAAGTATTGAAATATTTTATTCGCTGGAGATGCAGCTTTCCTCACGATGTTTCCCTTCACCGACTTGGCACATGGTATTTTATTTTATAGAATAAGGGTGACAAACTAGCACACAGTCCACCTGATGGTAAATGGATACTGTAGTCCATAATAGACATCTACATTTATTATCGATTAGGAATGAAAATGCAGCTACGTTTTCACCCCTGAGCAATAAGATGGAATACCTCGTTTCCAGTAAAAGGGGTCTCTGATTCTCTACACTCACCATATGGAACACAGTAGCATTAAGCTGCTATTTTACGCTGCTGCTATTCTGTAAAAGAAAGTGGACCTGGTCGAGCCCCGACGGTTCGACAAAAATGAGATTGACGACCAGACGACAACTGTTAAGTGACGTCTCAGTGATCGCGAGGGTGAAAACTGGCAGAGATCACCGAATGGTGAGAGGCACACTCAACGTAAACGTTAAGTTGGAGAGGTCACGTCTAATGAAGTCAACGCTCCGTACCACTCGTGCTCTAATCTAAAGCCCGGAAAACTTTCAGCTCGAGTTACAAAACCGTTTTCAGTGCCTAGAAGATTGCAATGAAGTGGACGATATGAATAACACGCTTGTGGAAACTGACTATGCGGTCGGAGTTAGGTTCTGTAAGACCCGTTGCAGAACAGAAAAACTCTCCGAACACACTCTTAATCTCATGGCTGTTAGAAGGGAGATGAAGCTGCAGTCTTAAGAAAATTTGACAGCATACAGGCAACTGGACAGACAGATCTCCAAGTGCATGCGGCGGAACTTACGCAATTTCGTAAGTGTATTGTAGAAGCGATCGAGAAAGTCGTTACCAGAGATCTGTCTGCCAGAAAGAGTTAACTGTCGAAGCTGAAAACCGAGTGTGGCAGCGTCGTTTCCGGGCTTTAGATTAGATTTTGAGATTACCTGAGATTTTGAGTGAGATTGAGAGGTTCTACGATCAGCTGTACATATCTAAAGATATCCCGGACGTCAGTCTGAGCGAGATTAGAATGGTTCTCCAACATCTTAAAAACGGCAAGTCCCTAGGCGAGGATGAAATCACAGCGAAGCTTCTGAAAGCGGGTGGAAAACTGGTACATAAAGTCCTTCAGTAGCTCTTTAATTCCGTCCTCCATGCTGGCACTACTTAAGATGAACATGGACAAAACAAAAATCATGCTTAATGTCCATGTCACACATATGCCGGTAGTTGTTGGGAGCACTAAGCTCGAATTTGTTGACGAATATGTTTACCTGGGATAAAGAGTCCGACTAGGTAAGTCCAACTTCGACCGAGAGGTCAATCGACGAATTGAACTCGGCTGGGCAGCGTTCGGGAGACAACGACGCATCTTCTCGTCGGTCATACCTCAATACCTCAAAATTAGATTGTATAACCAGTGCGTATTGCCAGTGATGACCTATGGATCTGAGACGTGGTCTTTCATAGCTGGCCGTATGAGGAAGCTCAAAGTCGCTCAGCGAGCTATGGAGAGGGCTATGCTCGGCGTTTCTCTGCGTAATATACTTAAAAATGAGGATATCAGCAGTACAATCAGAGTAGCCGACATAGCCTAAAAGATGAGTAAGCTGAAGTGGCAAAGGGCCGGCCATATAGCTCGAAAAACCAACAACCGATGGGGAAGAAAGGTTCTCGAGTGGCAGCCTCGTAGCGGCAGGTAAAGAGTAGGGTGTCCCACTATGGTAAGACATGCAGGAAGTCAATGGATGCAGGTAGCTCGGAACCGTGTTTTGTGGCATTCCTTGGAGGAGGCCTATGTTCAGCAGTTGACTTGTGAAACGCTTTAATGATGATTATGATTCTGCAAGAGCGTAGTACCACCCCGAGCGAGCCAACCCTCTTATAATAAAAATGTTAAAAATTAGTTATATTAATACAATATCGTTTACTTTTTTTAGAATTGGCGAATAAAACTGAATTAGTTTATGGATGTGGATATTACGCTAATCAGGAGACAATTATATACCAGGAAACTGTCATCATTAATACGAAAAATCCTTTAGGTGTTGGAGTATTCGCAGTAGGTCTTTATTTTTATTTTCCAGTATTTCAGTTTATATAAAACGACATTTTTTGTAGAATATTGGTAACAAACGAGCATACAGTCTACCTGATGGTAAATGAATGTTGTAGACCAAAGAAATCTACATTTATCCTCGATTAACAATCAAAATGTAGAAATGCTTTGTCACCGCTGAGAACTAAGATGGAATGCCTCGTTTCCAGTAAAAAGGGTCTCCAGTTCTCTACACTCACCATACGTAACATTAAGCAGCTATATTACCCTAGTATTCTGTGAGGGCGTGGACCTGAACTGAACTCATTTCATTCATGCTACAACCATAATATAGCTGCAGCGTGGCTCTACCACGTGTAGAAATATTATATTGTGGGTAATGATTTGATTATTATTGAAACATGAGGGCAAATATTACGTATACTGATTCAAACTTTAACTCAGTCCGTAAAAAAAGGAGTTGAAAATAACAATATTAGAGTTTAGGAAACCTTTTTTATTCAGGGTTAGTTTTCAAATAGTAGCCGAATTTTATACTTAAGTTCAAATATATTATAAATAATGATATACCGTTATTGCAGTTTTTTAAATACGAGTAAATATTGCTTCTACTTTTATTTGAAACTAGTTGTTCCCCGCGACTTCGTGTAATTTAGGGATTTAATTTCGCTGTGCGGAACGATTCAGAATGTGTCAAAGAAAGCACTTATGGCAATTCATAATGCTGTGTTAGTACCTACTTTAATATATGGTTGTGTAGAATGGGTCTGGCAAAAGATGCATGAGAGTAGAATAAATGCTGTAGAAATGCAGTCATTAAGGAGTATGCTAGGGCTGGATCAGAATGACAGGGTGAGAAATACGAATACCCCGGAACGAATTCTGGGCCTTATTGGTGGTGGTCGTTTAAAGAACGGTACGGGCTTTCATTGCGCACGCCAGAAAAGCTTGCAGCATGCCGAGCTGTTACTGCTAACAGACAAAACATTGACGATTTTTATAAAAAGCTACTGGACGTCGTTATTGAGCTGGATATTCTGCAAAAGCCTGAAAGGATTTATAACTGCGACGAAACCGGTGTAACGTTCGTCGGAAAACCGTCAAAAATTGTTACTCAAACTGGAAAGAAGGTAATTTACAGTAGAACTTTTGCAGAGAAAGGTGTCACACAAACGGTGCTTGGGTGCTGTAGTGCTAGCGGAGCGTCTGTACCCCCCTTGATCATTTTCGAACTATTTTTCTAAAATATAAGTAGCCTAAGTTACTCCTTATAACATGAGCTATCTACCAGTCAAAGTCCAGTCAAAATCAATCCAGTCGTTTCGGAGACTAGCCGGAACAGACAGACAGACAAAAATTTAAAAATTGTGTTTATGTTATAAGTACTGTACTCGTATATACTTTCATATGCAATTAGTAAAAATCTGTTATTTTGATATTACAAACAGACATTTCAATTTTATTTATTTGTATAGATTATCCCAAATTGAATGTGATTTATGAGCAACAACGTTTTTGCTTACCGATCGACCCTTACAAATGTGTACGTGCGCAGTAAAATCAGTTAAAATAATGCATTACCACGCATTTTGAATTTAAAAGATAAAAAGGACAGAATGTTTGAGATTTTTTTTAATTAATTTATCTTCACCATTTGCCTATATTACTTATTCTGAACCTTCTCTCCAAATTTGGCCGGTTATTGTAAAATAACCCCGTATATCCTTACGATGCTATAAGGCGTAACCGGTGGTTTTGTGTACGTATCTATACATATATAAATAAAATTGAATTATCCGTCAGTAATTATTACACCAATTTTATTAGTATGAGGCTATTCTTTTGCGTAGTGTTATTTCAAAGAAACTTTAATTAAAAAAACGTACAAATTGTTTTCGTTTACTTTTTCAGATGTTATTGTTCGACAATAACTTCAAAGCAGTATCTTGCCTCAAGCTGTATACGCTTTGTAAGGCAAAGAGCGCAAATACTGGTTATAGTTATCAGCGACCCCATAATTCACAAGCCCAATTGTTCGCGAAAAGTTATCCAGCAAGAATAAGAGAAAAAGTAAGACACAACAGCTACTTGATGATCACTGATGCGGCCCACAAGAACGTTACAACATTCCACTTTGAATTTAAGTTCCAATACGATAGAATGGCTATGTTTAATTTGTCTTTCTACGGGGACTACAACGGTAGGTACTTAATTTATATCTAGCTTTTGTACGCCGATGCATTGTATTGACGCGTTTTCGTGCTAGTGAATTTTTTATTTATTAAACTTCGGACCGCAAACAAGTTCACAATTATCAACTTATCTAATGTAATTACTGCACATTTTTTATTATTGTGAACTCAGCAACGCTGGTCAGTATTACAATTTTTCAAACATACATGAAGCTTGTCACAAAGTATACCTAGACATTGACAATATTTTGTTATTTTTAATTAAGAATTAAAGTTTACACACAGTATCGACTAACAAACATTGTAGGGTTATGATAGGATATATGAAACCACTGCTCATTAGTTTTTTTTTTTAAGTAGTCGTGTCATATTTTCCACCATCTACTCAATGACTACCATCTTTTCAGTAACAATCATCTTATAATTACTTCGTCCAGGGACATTGATATCGATATCATTTTATGCCGAACAAAGGCGGGACCTTTGTCCCGCCTTTGTTCGGCATAAAATGATTCGGCATAAATTGGTAGAAAAAAGTTTATGAGAATGGGCCACGCGCTGATGTGCTCTACTAGGTACTTTATAATTTATATTCTCAGTTATATCCATACAGTCATCTCTATTGTGACATAGATCATAAAACAACATTGTCTCGAGAATTATAGGCCTTGATTTAAGAGTGGTAAAATTATATTTCGCCATGAGTTCATTATACGGTATTTTTGTTCTGGCAATATTTATAATGATCTAAGACATTTGTATAATTTATTTTATTTATAATATATAAAATTTATATTAATATATATATATATATATATATATATATATATATATATATATATATATATATATATATATAAGTATGTGTTTATGTGTATGTTTTTATGTTTATATTCGGATATACAATGTATAGCTATATCCAAATAATACTTAAATTACACTTCATATGCTGATTTCTCCCTCACTCGCTTCTCTGAATGTTTTGTTTCAGGTACGCAGAGCTAAGATAATTATGTTCCTCCGTGAAGTCAATATTGGGCCCTATTTTAAATCAGCGCTACCGTCATTAAGTACAGCATCAGTTAACTGAAACAGGAACCTAATTTAACTTCACACCAATTTAAATAAAACTAGTTTTACGGATTTTATCGCGTATATTAATTTATTTTATATTCTCGACGTTTTGAGCACTTTACAGCACCCATGGTCACGGGGGGGGGGGGGGAGGCTGAGGTGTTTGACGTCCCATTGTCATAGTGTCAGTTATCTCCAGATTAAAATTATTAATTTTTGTTCCGATCTACGCAGTATGAACTTTATTATTGGACTTAATTTTATTAATTATAGTATCCCAAGCAGATGGTAGCACCCAGCCATCTTCTCAATTGAAATTATGATGATCATTAGTTACTGTAAGTTTATACTGCGTAGATCAAAACAAAAAGTAATAATTTTAATCTGGAGGTAGCAAATCGGATTTTATATCTTCTTCTTTTCTTTTTACGTATGTTACTAAATTAAGAAAAATTCTTTTAGCCAACTTAGAGCAGGTAAACCGATTTTGATGATTCTTTTTTTTATTAAACTGGTTCTACCCCAAGGGCTGTCCCATTTAAATAAAAAAAAGAATTCGCTAAGATCCGCGTAGTAAAATAAAATTATGTGACTTAACTAGTTTGAAGATCACCTCCTGCCCCTTCCCCCCCCCCAATCCCAATTGCGTGCACTATTTTCGTCACCACTTACCTCAACACCACTACTATCACCACCACTACACTAGAAAAGACACACCACCGTCGATAATACCGACAAGTGTTTCGACCCTACACGAGGCATCTCAGATAATTAATTTTGACATCTTTAATTCACATACATTCAAGTTTGTCACCTTGAGTATTTGCTATTTGCCTCAATAGGGTAAAAGATTAAACAATAATTCAATAAGGTAAAAAGTAAGAACTGACCAAAAAATTAAGTAATTCCCGGAATAGCTTTGGGGGTTTTCATTTTTGTTCACATTATGTCTTGGTACCGACTTCAGAAGCTATTATGTGCAAATTATTTTATTATTTTTATATCTATGAAATCGGTTTTCCTCTTTATCACACGATAGTTAAGGGTCTAGATATCAAATAGTTAAAGAGCAAAAAGCATTGTTAAAATGTAAACAATTTTTTTTTGTAAATTCTAGATGGCGCTAGTGATACTTTGTCAATCGATATCGTTAGACCATCGTAATAAAATAAGGGCAAATTAAAGTCTTATTTAATAAATTAGTACATGCATTCTCGACATATTTTATTTCTAATATTATAATTATGTTATATTATATTTTACGTGATAGAGCCATGCTGCACCAATCCTAATAGTATAGTTTTAACATGAATGGGTCTGCCCGACCGGGGAAGGACCACGCTCTCACGGAATACCAGCGTAAAATAGCAGCTTAATGCTGCTGTGTTTTGTATGGTGAGTGTAGAGAACCGGAGACCCATTTTAGTGGAAAAGAGGCATTCCATCTTAGTCCTCACGGGTGACAACGCATCTGTATTTTTGATTCGCTAACGAAGATAGATCTAGATGTCTATGGGCCACAGCAACCACTTACTATCAGGTGGACTGCGTGCTCGTTTGTCACACTTATCTATAAAAAAAAATATAGCGACGCCATCGCTAATACCGATCGCTAAATAATAAAGAAAAAAATAGTTTGCCGCAACGATGCTTATGATAAATGCAAGTCACTACAGCCGAGATACCGAACAAAATCGTTAGATATCTTTACTTTACGATGTCGTTACGCTAACGAAAAACGTATTCATAGTCCGGTGTTTCCTTAGAAAAAGTATTGACTGTTGAAGAATCTCTTTGAATCACAGGGAAAATCGGTAGACACAATTTTATAAAAATGATTGCTTTTCTTTGAAAATTGTACAGAAACACTAGAAACCTCATCTTATATAAATATTTTTCATAGTAACTTACAAGCAGCTTTTACCGTTTTTAAGAATTGAATTAACTTGTTAAATATTAAAGCACATAAAAGTTTGCCTCCTTGCAACACTGTGTTAATGTCAAAATCAGTCAAAAATCTAGAGTTTTGGCGGGAACTTGATCGGCGGCGGTTTGCTGCTCCTGTATTATAGTTTAAATAATAGTTTGAAGTGGATTTTGATATGTAAAAGTGCGATTTTATGTATTAACTGTCTACGCATTTGAACTATTAGTGGAAACGGTGGAACAAGTGCTCTGATGGTGATGGATTCTCAAGATAAGCTGTTTGTTTGCATAGGTGCCTTTAGATACACTCGCCAACTGTCAGCTGTCTGCTGGCTCAAGTTGCCGTCAAAATCTCCCAAGGGCTGCACAATTTGACGCATCAACATATTGTGAAGCAGTGAACTATGAAAGATGTATATACATAAAGACAAGGCTGTATGGCTTAATTCCTTTGCCTGCTCTCTCGAGCGAATAACAACAACAGTCAAAAATGAAAATTGTTAATGTTTCCTGTATAGGACAGTTACTATACTCTTTGGTTAATGACTCAATCGATGTCAACGGAGTTTTGGCGGGAACTTGACCGGCGGCGGTTTGCTACTCCTGTTTTATTGTTTAAATAATGGTTAGAAGTGGACTTTGATATTTAAAAGTGGTGCGATTTTGTGTATTAAGTGTCTGCGCATGTGAACTATTAGTGGAAACTGTGAAACAAGTACTCTGATAGTGATGTGATTCTCAAAATAAGGTGCCTGTCTGCTTAGGCGCCTTGAGATACCATCGCTAAATGTCAGCTATCTGCAGGCTCAAGTTACCGTCAAAATCTCCCAAGGGCTGCACAATGTGACGCATCAACATATTGTGAAGCAGTATACTATGAAGAATAATTATTATAATATAATATTGTAACTTCAGGCTCAGAAGGGCTAGATCCCAGAGCCGTAAAGCCAGTTATTAAGAAGAAGAAGAAGACGATGTCAACTTCTTGCTTGTTGTTTGCTTACTTGCAAAAATAAATAAATTCGTAGTATATATCATGTACTTTTTTGTATCATGTTCATGATATTTTGAATGGTGGGGGGCAGTGACGCAGGCGCAGGCCCGGTTTCGAGCTGCGTTTAGTAAGTACAACCTACAACAACTATTTTCGAATCTATCGTTGTATATTTAACGCTTTGTTTGTTGAAGACTATGTAATGTTTACATTTTGAATATATTTATATGCATGTTTCGGACGTAAACGCATACCACGCGCAACAAGAGGGCAACTTGAACCACTTCTGTCGAAGTCAGCAGCTCGTCCATTTTTGTTTATAAGAAAATTTTCCCTCCTGAAAACCCTCTGGTTGGATTTAGAATCGTTTGGCACAAATTTGGCGGAGTAAGTTGTTTTATTTAGTAAAGATTTGGTCATAATAATTTGGTTATAATAATACCACTCAAAATAAAAGGTAATACTCCGTTATGGAAAAAATAAATAAAAACTATTATAACCTAAAATGCGTAAAACGTGGAAAAATTACTGTAAAAGCTGGATAGCATACAGAATTTTGCGTAAGTGCGGCAAGGACGTAAAACTAGTGTCACATTATTCTACTGTCTATACTCTCTGTCAAGAGATATTTCGCTAAAGACAACTATAATAATAGAGAATATTTTACCGTTACCGATGATATATGAATATTTCTGGAGAAGAGAAATTATAAGGAATAAAACAGATCCATTTGTTTAATTAATTAAAAAATATGTGAACAGACAATAAAGAAATGATTATAATATACTCCCCTTTTATTTTTGAATTGCTTAAAACTGCCCAGAAATACTTGAGCACCCAGAAATAATTTCAGTTGTAATAGGTTAGAAGGTTGTGGCGGGAGCGAAGGCAACCTGACTTTATAGATAAGATATCTGATCTGATCGAATCTGTACTAAAATTAACCCAGCACGCCCCAAATCCACGTAGTCTTGTCTCCCCTACTCCTGGAGTGTTTTTGTAAAGCCGTAAGTGCGGAGGGAGAGCATCCCCCGCCCGCCGTAGCAAATCGCAGGCACCTGTGCGAGCCGTAGCGGCTGAGGCTGGTCGCCGAAGATGACCAATAAACCGAATCTGCGGAGGCGAGCATGGGTGCCTGTGATTTGCTACGCAAGGGCGAAGGGGCTGCGCTTCCTGCAGCGCAGAAGCCATTATAGAAGTAACTTTGGGTCAATATTCCTGTGTAAAAAAGTGAGGTTATGAATTTTCAAAAAAAAAAAAAACACTACTGTTAAACTATACTTTTCCGCAACGAGGGAAAGGTAGAGGGGCTTTCCCTAATAGGGCACACTCCTGCTACCCTCTTCCCCCCTCCTGCCGGAGACGATAAGTGTTACTTTCAGGTTAGGTCGATGGGATTTTGTTTTTGATTTTTCTCAAGAACGGTGTATTACATTTTAATGGGGGGGGGGGTGTCGGGAGTAAAGGGACGCTCCCTCCTTCCCTTCCTCTCATTCCCTGCCCTCTCCTCCTGCCAAACGATTCTAAATTTCAACCCAAGAAGAATTTTTAAATAGGTTGGAAGGGAGTAGCCGACGATTTCAACCAGCTACCCCAGTCAAGACTCCAGAGCAGTGGATAACAGTTAAGTTTATAACAAAGAATTTTCCAGATTTACTACTAATGGCTTATACATAAATCAGCCAGCACATTGTGCAGCATATGTGTAACTAATATTTACTTGAATACATAATTATTTATTTTGTAGGTCTGGAGACTAAAAGCCAGGGCTCAACAAAGCAACAAAGTTAAGGAAAGAAAGGATACAGACCGGCAACCGAGACATTATCACAGAACAATAGGTGCAAGAAATAACAATGCAGTCACCATCACCACATATAAGTAAGTTTGAGCTTTGTTATTCATTTAATTCCTACTTACATTGTATATTCCTGTGCTCTGCTGTCTTAGCCACTATTTGCGCGATAAAAAGTATCCTGTGTAGGCTTTAACTAGCCCTAATGACCTTGACGAAACGGCGATCGCAGAGATTTTAGCCGACGTCAACACCTCCTAGCAACTACGTTCTGTATTACTTATAAAAGTGCAAAGATTAATAGACTGCAGAGATGACAATTATATAAGTGACATACTGCCTGTTATGCTTGCGCATCA